TTCACGTTTCCCCCCCCCCCCCCGAGGCACGGCGAGGCGTTGTGGTTGTACAGTATGTTATTGCATACGTTGCAGTGTGCTGAGGGTCAGGTTTGTGGTTTTGTTTTGAGCATTTCTGCGAGTCGGGTGCCATTTTTAAAATGAAAGTGCGTGCGCACCACAGCGCATACACCGGGCAATTCTGTACTGCTTGTTGGTAGGAACTCCAATGTGCATTCCCAAGTGTGAACATAGCCTTGAAAATGATCACTTCAAGCAGGACTTGACAAATTCTCTGTGACTCTAGGAGCCAGCTACGGGGTTTTATTTTTAAATGTGCGTGTTCGTGAGGGCGGGGGAATTTTACTTTTGCTCCTTTTTGTTTTTTTGTATTTTTAAAAACAAAATATGTGATAGGACTTTGGAGATGACAGGTTCTCTTTAAGGTGACATTAGTGGCAAGTGTCACATTTCCACTTCACTGGGGAATGACAGCTGCCTGCTGAGGCAGCTGAATATAAACACAGCAAGGAGTGGCTGGGAGCAATAGCCAGCCTGCTATTGGTTATTTCAAATTGCACTGGCCAATGGCTATTGCACCCAGCCACTCTCTGCTGTCAATCGGCAGAGGAGGGACCTGAAGGAAGTAGTTCTCCTGCAGGTCCTCCTCTGCTGATAGCAGGCAGTGTGCAGTTGCAATAGCCAGCCTGCTGTTGGCTAGTGCAATTTATAATAACCAATAGCAGACTGGCTATTGCTTCCAGCCGCTGGATGGGACTCTTGTCGCCGGCTTTCTTGCGCCGGTAACACGTGTCTTTTCCAGCAGCTGGGAGCCGCTGAATGGGAAGAGGGAGCGGCAGAGATGCAACGGGGCGTGGGAAGGGGTGACGCGGTCTGATCTCTGCATGTGGGGAGGGCAGCAGTGATTGAAGGGAGTACAGGCCGCTACAGCCGGTGCCCAGCGGGTAGGAGAACAGGAGAGCAGAGCTGATTGTGGCGGCGGACAGTGAGCGGGCTGACAAAAGCCCAGGCGCCAGGACGCTATTTTTAGTAACCATGGTGACCCGGCGCCTGGGATTTGTCGAGCCTTAAAGTCCATTTCACCTTTTGTAAGTGATTATCATTCATTGTGGTAATGAAGAGGTGCGGTGATGATGGATACATGGGCACATTTTCATGACTCGCATTTTTTAATGAACTTTTTATTAGACCTAAATCCTAGAAAGTCTAAATTTTCTCCTCAGGAAAATCAGTCAGACACCGGGGACGGATTGTAATTTTGCTGTAAACAGCTCTCCCCCTTCTTGTTTTCATTATACAGAAGCTCTGCCTTTTTACACAATACACTGTCAGGGGG